AATAAAGGACTAAGATAAAGAACAGATCCAAAGATTAAACCCTGGGCATTTCAACATTAAGAGGTCAAGAAGAAGAGAAAGAAGCTGCAAAGAAAACTTACAAGGCATAACCAAGGACGTAAAATGAAAAACCAAGATTATATGTTTCTTCACAATCTGGCATATAGAGGAAGGTTTATGATACCAATGGACAAACTCACACAAGTCACTCTAGCTATAAATCCAAGAGATTACTTATTTTTCTGATATTTCCACTTGGAAATGAGGAAAGAAATCCTTAGGCATTTAGGTCTCAAGAAGTTTTTATCTAGATAATCTCTTGAGCAGACTTAACCAGAAACTACTTAGGAAACATCCCCTAAGATTAACAATGTTTCTTTTAAAAGGAAGAAAAGGGAACAAACATGAAATAGGACACACACAAAAAAAATTAGACAGAACTGAGAACTATAAAGTCATACAAGAGCAGTTTTATGAAAGAAAATAGCAAAACACTTGAAGACATAATGAATAAATAAAATTAATAAAAAGGAAAAAAGAAATTGAAAGCTTAACCCATTAAGTTTTCAATTTTTCAAGTCTCAACTTTTTAATTCTAGGAACATTTCAACAAAATTGGCACAGATATAGTAAACTAGGTTGGAAATCATAATCTAGAGTTTACGTATAATTATACTAATATTAATATTATACCAATTAGTATGCCATAATATAATTATATGCCTATTATGTAATATATAATTATATATTACATACTAGTTTGTAAGTTTTTTTTAAACATTTGGGAATATATGACAAAATGGGTTTATGTTTCTGGGGTAGACAGAACATCTCCAGCCAAGGGAGTCTCCTGATTAGAAGATCACTACTAACATAGTGGAAATGGGCAGAAATAAGCAACTTCACATTTCATCTTCAACAAGCTCCAGGAAACTGTATCTCCTTTTCAGGTAGCTTCAGTTAACAGGATTGCTAATAACCAACAGACGGGGAATATCCGCAGGCAGATACAGCAATCATCCTGACTTCTATAAACTTGCCAGGAAAAAAACACCTGAGTTCTATTAATAAAACACAAGATCCCCTCCAAATGGAGCTTCCAGACCTTCGGATTTACAGAGATCCTTAAAGGCCATCTACAAATGAAAATTCTTTTTATAATGATACTAAGTTTTTATTTGCATTTCTTCTATGCTTAACATGAACTGATTGTTGGAACAGAAACAACAGTGGATAAAACTGCTGGCCTTTTAAAAGGAGAGAGAACAGTGGACTCATGCTATACTGCCAGTCATTTTGTATCCTTCAGGGGAAGAAGTAGTTTGGACTTTTATTCATGAAAGTAAACTGTCTATTAAATGTCCACCCTTAAGTATGTATCTTTTAATATTCTGTGGCAAGAGAAGTATACATAAAGCATACTTACTGGTTTCTTACAAATGTCTCAATATAATGCTATTCCAGTTATGAGATACACTACCGCATTTTTAAAAAATCCTCTTTTTTTGCTTGAAAGAACAACTGCCAAATGAGTAATGGTTTATCCAGACTTATGTATAAGGCAGTCTTTGTCAAAAATGAGCAGTGAACATTGAGCACTGTGGCATGCAACCACAGTCCCAGCTACTCAGGTGGTGGTGGGGCAGGAGGTTGCTTGAGTCCAGGACTTCAAGGCCATCCTGAGCAACATAGCAAGATCTCAAAATACAAGCAAGCAAATAAAACAACAACAAAAAAGAAACTGCAAAGAAAATAAGTAAATAACAGTATTTATTACCACCAATAAAACTCAAGCTTTCAAGAGAAAAATCAGAATTTAGGAATACTTGAATTTATCACCTTTAGAACTTGAGTTTCACAGCTTCCCAATACAAAAGGGCTTTTCTAATAAAAATAGTGGTGACAATATTGAATGTTTTTTCTAATGTATAATGATATATGTCAACATTTGAAAAACCTATATTATTCATTGAACCAATATTTTCCAAATGAATAAGGCAATAAAATGTCAAAAAACCATGTATAGGTAAAAGATTGATTCAAAGTGCAAATGGAATTTCAAGGCAATGAAGAATTAAAAGGCAGTGAACATATAAATTTAAATCAATAATTTGAAGGTAGTTAGCACTCTTAAATATTTTCATGGAGGAAGACAACTAAAACTACTTTAAGAAAATTTTAATAAGAGTTTAAACCTTTGTGACCAGTTTTGTTTTGTTTTTGTTTGGTTTTTCATAGAAACTGGCATCTTAGTTAGAACACTGGCATTAAAAGAACCTGACAAAGGTAGGAGAGCCCTGAAACAGCAGCTCTCCAAAAATATGTCTATAAGCTACTGTAAATTATCACTAATTAACATATGAAAATTAACCTTTGTCTAGAAAAGTGACTGCCAAATGATTTGTTACCAGATAGCTTTTCTTTTAAAAGCACACAAGAAAGACAGAAAACAACACAGAAGACAATTACAAGCCTGATTATTTTCCCTATTCCTCAAACCTCTCTAAATACATGCACAAAAAAACACACTATGAAAGCCATCACTTCTTCCTAGACCTGCCTGTGTTAAAATCAGAATCAGCATCATAAACATTTCAGTAATAGATTACCAAGCTCCCTATCATGCCAAGTAAAACAGAACTTCTGGACATGATCTAGCATTCCACATTATTAAAATGTCTCCAGAAAATTTCTGAAGCTTTCCTGGAGGTTCTATGCTGGTAGCCACTCCCATAGGAAACATCCTCAGAATCATTTGCTTAAAGGCAAATAGCTCCATCTTGGGAAATAAGATCTACTTTGGGCTCTGCCACTCACTAATAAGGTGATCTTTAACATCGACTTCTTCCTCTAGAAAAGGTAGAAAATACAAAAAAAAAAAAAAAAAAGCAGGGTGGCGAGGAGACAAACATTTATGAAAATTTTTAAAAATGCTGAATATGAAAGTCTTGTACATTGCCTACAAGGTTAGACTGAAAATGTGCTGATGTATTGAGAGAGATTAGATAACTGTAGAATTTGATGGAGGCAACAGATAAATACAGTGCTTTGTATTTTTTTAGTTCTCAGAATCCAGAAGAAGATGTCTATGTAATAAGTAACTAGATAGTATCTAGCATTTCAGAAGAAAAAGCTGGGTTTGAGAATAATAATTATCTTAGAAACCACACAATTATTTCCTTTCAGGTTCTTTGCTGTAGGTAGGTCATCATTGAGTTGAAGCCAAAGGCCTTGGTGGATAGTTAAAAGATGTGACTAACTTTATAATAATAACCATTAATAATATCCAATTAAATTTTGTTTTGACTTCATGGTCAACGAAAAATTCTATTCATCATTTGGCTTTTCATGCAAATTTCTTCCCTAGACCAGTGTGTCTCAACTATCCTAACCCAAGGAAGTTATATTTTTCAGCATAGCCTAAGTTCTGCAGAGAATTAGCCCTAAGGCCCTAAAGCACCTATTATTTGTAAGGACTAACTCATTTCCTAATATTTTAAATTCTATTATAGACACTTTATCCTTGTGAGGACTGAAGACATACTATCCTTGGGAGAACTGAGAAAAATACTAAAAGCCTTTTCTGTAGGTTTAATTTCCTACATGATACTAACTTCAAAGAGCTGATGAAGTAATATTCTGGCTTACAAGTCTCTGTGACCTTGGTTTTAATAGATTAGTTCAGTAGCCTCTGGGTTCAATGATAAGATGTGGTTCCTGGACTTAGACTTCCCTAACATGTAAATTGGCTTATCCTGTTACATGTCTACAGGATAATCTTATCTTATTGTTACACAAGTGACAGGCTCCTCCACCAAAATTGTTTTTGAAGAAGTAAGCCATATCCTTCCAATAAATTTGTACTGAAAAGGCAACATTCTACTTAATAAGAACCATATCAACAGTTTTAACATTACATTTATAAAAAATTTAATGTATAAATAGGAAATATTAAATTCTTTTCTTTGTCCTTTAGGTTTTTTATTTAGAAATAATTTTAGACATGTAGAATAGTTGCAAAAGTAGTACCAAGAGTTGCCATATACCCTTCAGCCAGCATCCTTTAATGTAACATCTTACATAATTGTACAAAATTTATCAAAACAAGAAAATTAAAGCTGGTATAATACTAGTAATTAACTACAGAAGTTACCCAAATGTCACCACTTTCCCTATTAATGCCATTTTTAGAAATATTATTCAATATTAAAATACTATAAAGACTTTTCCAAACCTATACCAAAAGGATAGAATTTCACAATGGGTCCTTTATATTTTAGATCAGGAGAAAAGACAAAGGTTAGAACCAAAACAGCTAAATTAAAAAATCAATGAAACACTTGAAAAAAATTCCCATTAACAGAAATTTCTGTTTTTTAAAGTTTCCAACTAAAATCTTATACATCTTATTTACTGATGAAAAAAATGGCATCTCTTTTCTAAATAAGAAATCTTACATTTTTAAATAGCACAAGTCTCATGATTATTTGAAAAGAAAAAAAAATGTAGGTAGTTATTATAAATTTGTAAGATCTAATAGTAGAAAAAGGGGAGGGGAATGGGAAGGAAGAAAGGCTACCTATCGACCATAGCCTCTGAATTAAATACCTCTGTATAGCACAATAAAGGTACTGGTGAAAATTCCCCTTCCAAGAGAGCTTTCTACTATTGTCAACACTTACCAAAAAAATTCTGGAAAACAGATTTTTAAATAAAGAGCACAATTAAGTATGGGAAATCAGCAATATTAACATAAGGGACATGAAAATAAAGTAATCAGATCGAACTACCACAAAGAAGTGTTATAAGCTAACCTAAAAGATGCAAAATAGGCACTAATAGTTTTAGAATATTGAGAATGAAGACATATTATTTATTCATTCCTGGTATAAAAGAAAACAATAATCTCATATTTGATATCAAAATTAAAAGTTTATATGTAGCTTTATTCTACATTCTGATAGCAGCCCAAATAGGAAATATAACAAAAAGATACTTACTATAATAGCCATATAATACAGTGTCCTCAATCTGTTTGCTGACATTAGCATTAGCCCAGTCCTAGGACAGTAAGGAAACAATAGCAATATTAATTTTAACATCCACCTGCCCAACAGTTAAGATTTAATTTGACAGAATTTCACTTCTAAAGTTTATCATTAATTCAAATAAGGTATGGTCTATATCTTCAAAAAAATGAGAGGCAGACAAGTAAACAGACAAATTTCAATATGGAAATGCTTAGATAAGATAACACAGTTCTGGGGAAGCACCAAGGCACCTAACTGAACTGAAGATCAGGAATAGATTTCCCAAAATTATCTAAAATGAGAGACCAAAGGTAAAAGAAGATGTTTTTAGGGAAAAGGAAAGAAAATAGAAAGAAAATGATGAAAGAGGAAAGAGGAATATGCATGGAGAGTTAGAAAAACTGAAAGAAGCTAAGTACAGATTCACTAGAAAAACAAAAACAAAAACCAGAAAACAGGTGGAATAAGGGAAAGGAAGAGCATATGTTGAAGAGATTTGTGAGTCATAGTAAGTATTTTGGACTTTGTCCTAAAGGTAATGAAAAATGGTGATGAATTTATGCAGACATTAACAAATGTAATTTGTATTTTATAAAATAAGATTTGAACAGATTATCACTTTTGAAATATATAAAAGTCCATCTAAACTCCTTTGCATTCATCCCCATAAATGTTCTTTCAACTAATAAACTTATATTTCAAATTAATCTTGTCAATAGAAAAAAAAATCTATATACTACTGAGTCAGAATGAAGGTATAATAATATCAATATTATCAATAATATCAATATTTTTGTCTAATACCCTAAATTCTGTGCATGCAAAAAATTAAACCTGGAGAGTCTATGGAACTGGTCATTGATATTAAGTTGCAAGGTTCAAATTCGAATGCTGGTCATTTTTTTTAATAAACATTTCAGGAATTCAAGTTAGTGTCAACATTTACTATAAGTGCTGTTAAGGAAATTATCAACACTTAATTTTCTTAAAATAACTTAGGATTTTTCTTTTCTTCTTCTTTTTGCCTACAAATACATCTAGCAATGAACATCTATGAATTTCTTGCTGATAAATAACTAAAATAAAAATGTGGACGATCCAAACTTGCAAGTGCAAAACCTATATACAAAATGAACAATAATACTTCCAAACAGCTATAAAAATATAGCTTAATAAATCAAATTTTAAAAATGAACTATATAAAGAAAACTAACCTAACTGTAGATTATTAAAGTTCTAGATAAGTGGAAAATCACCTGTGCAACATGAAAGATTATAAATACTAATTCACGCAAATTAATCTATAAAAATAATATATATTGCCAATCAAAACCCCAGTGTACTGAGTGAGCCAGGCATGATAGCATGTGCCTATAGTCCCAATTACTTGGCAGGCTAAGGTGAGAAAATTGCTTGAACTCAGAAGTTCAGTGATAGCATGGCCAATATAGCAAGACCTTTTCTCTTAAAAGAAAGAAAAAGTAGAGAGAGAGAGGGGAGAAAACAGGAAGAAAGAACGAAGGGAAGGGCAAGGGAGGGAGGGAGGAAAGAAGAAATCCCAATGTACCAAGGGAGTATGTTAATATGTTAAAAAAGACCAACAATAAGTAATTTCCTAATTACTATATTTTACTAGTAAAACATGAAAATGTTTTATTTTAATAATGTTTAATTTAACTAACTGGCAAGATAGAAAACAATAATATGAAGTAGTCGCAAAATGTGGAGTTGAAAGCATTTCCTTCACATTAATAGGAGACTCTATGATCTAGATATCCTTTGTTGAATCCATCCTAAAAATATTCACAAGTTAAGACAGATATCAGTACAGGGACATTTTTAACAGTAGTAGTGGCCAATGAATGACTTTGAGATTCTTACTGATTTCCCTGGCAACAAGATAGCCTGAACAGGGCGGCCTCCCTTTCCCACACAAGAGGAATACACTTAATTTCAACTACTCCTGGGACAAAGGAGCCCACAGTCTTCATCAGTTATTCAGCAGTGAGAATGTCCTAACACCCTCTGAACAGCTTGTACCTACTCAGCTCAGACTACTTGACACTGAAGTCCCAAGTGTTTATCTATCTACAAGACCACTCTTCTAACTCCCCTATAAGATAGAAGAAAGGAGGTTGAAGTACTGAAGTATCTGCACTTGGGAGAGCTTATTCTTGCATATATTTCAACTTATGCATGAACATAAGCACTTGTTGATTTTTATTCCAGTAAATGACAGTCTACACCAAGCAACAATAACGGTTTTTGCTTAAAAGCTCTTTGCCCAACCATATTCAGTATAGTGTTGTTTAAAACTGAAGAAAATCTAAATACCCCAGGAAAAATGGTAAAACATATTATGGTATATTCATAACAGAGAATATCACACAGACATTAAAAACAAACCTATTAAAAAACAGCCATAGAAACATACACATGAAGTACTTTTGAATAGAGGGAAGAGAACATATTGCCACCATTAGTTATAACACATGCAACCAACTCTTTAGGGGAAAGAAAAGGGGGAGGAACAAAAGAAACACCTAAAATATTTTTAAAAAGTCAAAGAAAGCATACTAGTACTTACTAACTAGAATGGAAAGCCCTGAGGAAAATTCTATGTAATGATTAGAAATTTTTTCCTCAATGATTTAAATATCCAAATGCATATATACATAATCCCCAAAGCTTCACCTCCTAAGAGATGTACTTCCTTAGTGATTGCTTATGCATCAAATTGGAAGTGTAAAAAGATTTCTGATGAAGATGATCAAATTAAGAATAATTTATCGATGGACTAGAGGATAATTACAGCTTTTTTACTTATAACATTTCATGCAAAGTCCCTAGGAGTTTCCAAGACAGCCCCAAGAAGTAGTAATGTCCTCAACAGAACTCTGGATAGGGCAAAAGGGTGGGAGGGGAAAGGAGGAGTCATGGGGGTAAAAAAGATGGTGGAATGAGATGGATATCATTACTCTGAATACATGTATGAAGACAAGAATGGTGTGAATATACTTTATATACAACCAGAGATATGAAAAATTGTGCTCTATATGTGTAACATGAATTGTAATGCATTCTGCTGTCATATATAACAAATTAGAATTTTAAAAAATTCAAACTTAAAAATTGGACAAGAGCCCAAACCCAGGGGGAAGTGGGGGGGGGAGTTGAAAGTAGAAATTTTGAAAGTAATTTATATCCAAATAATCATTCAAATTTAACATCTTTTACTCTACAAGTTTCTTGTGTTTAACCAATCATTGAGGCAATAGAGAGTAAAACTGTTACTATTTTAAAGCTACAAATATGTGTAAAATACACAACATCACTCAAGTACCATTAGTGTATTTGGCTTTTATGCACTCCTCTGCCTCCAAAATATTTGATATATTGTCAAGAAAGCTTACTTTATTAAATCTTCTTTCTTTTACGTTTTGAAAACCACTATACCCATGATATGTTTTATAAACTATTGCCTCCCAGAGTAGAAACAAAAAGAAACTTCAATCACTTAAGACTCAAAGGAATGTAAAGACACTCAAAAATTAATACTAAATAGAGACTACTACAGAAGAATATTTCAGAAGAAAAGAAAATGATATGAATTCCATAGAACAAAAATGTAGTGGGGTCACATATATAAATTCATTTTCCTATCCTTCAAGATGACTTTCTAAAACCTGGTGTCCAACCTAAAATTCCAACATGACTCTCCATACTTTTACCTGATAACCTCACCTTAGATCAGTAATTCTCATTCAGAAGCCATTTTGTTCCCATGGGCATTTGGAAATGTCTAGAGACATCAGGCAGAGGGAGGAATAGGCATCTGTTAAGTAGACATCTGCAAAACTTAGGAGAGTCCCTCACCACAAAGAATTATCCAGCACAAAATGTCAATGGTGGGGAACCACTGACTTAGAGGTCTGGCCTACCTCAGCATCTGTCAAGCATCTTACACCTGCAATGACACACTATCTCCACTCTCAAAAATTCTTCCTATTCTAATGAAGTTTAAAGTATACAAACTCAACTAATTCCCATTAACCTCAAAGAGATAAAGACATCACCACAACAAATAAAAACACAGATGCCCACCTAGAGAACAAAATTTCCTGAAAAGTTGACAGTATTCTTTATCACTACATCCTCACCTCGCTATCCATATTTAACCCACTCCAACCTGTCTGTCCTACTGCTATGCTAAAATTATTCTTCATAGTTACCAATGACCAAATCCAGCTGTCATTTCTTTACCCCTTTCACTTAACCTTCCAACAACACTCAAAAAAGCAATCATTCTCTATTCCTGAAATATTCTTCTCCTACTTTCCTTATCTACTTTTCTTCTTACTTCTCGGGTTCCAGCTTCTTCCCTTTGACTGGCCTCTACATATTGAAGCACTCCAATGTCAAGTCTTCTCTCACTACTCAGTCTCCCCAGTTACCAGTATACAGCTCTGACATTCATGTTTACTCCCAAATATTTCTCTCCAGTCCTACCTCTCTTCAGAGCTTCAACTTCCTACTTGATACCTACACTTGCAAATATATAATGGTTACTTTGAAGGTGACTTATTTAAAACACATTTTTTCCCTCTACACTCCCTCATATACCCATGTGCATGCTTATGCTCTGTTATTCCTTTAGACTTCCCTATATCTCTAAGCTGTATAAAAACGTAGGCACTCCAATTTTCTTTTACTTTCATCCTGTCATATCCAATCCATGAACAAATTCTTGAGTTCTACCTCCAAAATATATATTACTTTTAATCATTTTTGTCCACTAGCACCACTCCAATTCAACTTACCTGCACCTTTTACCTTCATTAACTTTCTATTAAGAGAAAAATCCAAATTCATTAACATGAAAAAAATTATAAGCCATTTGGCCCTTGCCTTCCACTGGTTCTTAGCTTATACAAAAGCAAAACCTCAATACCACACTTCAGTCAAAAAAGCCAATTCATCCTGCCTAAAGTCTTTTGTATTTGCTGAGAATTCTCTTTTTGCTCTTAGCTGGCTGTCATCTAACCCACTAGTTTGGTTTACCTCAGCAGTCTGGCCTCCCTATCACCATTTCTGTGTTAACCACACCTAAATAGACTTTTGTGTCAATATATTATATATCCTTGTAGAATTTATCACTAATACAGTACCTTGTTGCATTTATTTGTTGACCATTTGTCTGGCTTTACATACTCTTAAGCTCCATGTGAATTGCAATCTCATTTATTTTCATCATAATCTCCAGAAACTACCTTGTCTACCACATACTATGTACTTAATAAATAGTAAATAAATGTATTTAAGGTTCAGAGAACAAGACAAAGTTCTAAGATATAATACCCACTGTTTGAAAATAGGAATAAGGAAGCAACAGAGTTCAACCCAGATATGTTGTAATAGCAGGCCGCAAAGAGATTAATCACTAGGGGACAAGAGTAAATAAATACTAAGTGTTTTGATGCCATATCTTAACTACTAGCTTTGAATTTTTTTACATGTTGTATAAAATAAAGAATATTTATTCATATTAGTGTCAACTTATCATTTTTAATGGTATAGTTCACTATCCAAAGTCACTGGCCAACTACACAAGACTGTTTAATAGAGCACTTATAGCTAAGCTTTAAGGTCTTTTTTTAATATAAAAAGTTGATTACTTCACAAGAAGTTAGAAACAAAGCAGTTATTTAGTTACAATTATCTACAATGCTTTATGTTAAAAGAAATGTCAACAGAAACAACTTGGGCATTGTAATGTACAGCTTCCATAAAAAGGCAGAGAAAGCAGGAATTTAGGAATAAGAAGTGTATGTTAGAAGCTGGGCATGGGTGCTGCTTGCTTGTAATCCCACCTACTCTGGAGAATGAGGCAGGAGGATCCAAAGTTCGAGGCCAGACAATGAAATTTAATGAGACTCTACCTCAAATAAAATAAAAAGAACTGGAAATGTAGATCATTTGGTAGAGCCCTGAGTTAATCTCCAGTACCAAAAAAGAGATTGGAATGGAAAGGAGAGTGGAGGGAAGGAGAGACAAAAGCACATTAAAATGCAAGTATCACTCACTATGGAAAGCAATACCAGAACATATTGCTAACCAACATACATTTATAGCAACAAATAAACCTGGAATAGATCTAAAGCCATTGTGGCATATTTACATTAACATGACTATATTTATAGTTATAGCATAACATCTGAAGAACTAATTGTTAAATACTTTACACTTTCCTTAGTCGTTGAGTACGTGAAAAGAATTCAGCAGTAGCTTTCTGGAGAAGAGTTTATCAGTGAAAAGTTTTAAAAATGTTTTTGGTTCTACTTTTGAGAGTTAGCAAACAGGCTGACTCCAAATGAAAACTGTGAATTTTATTCAACAAAAGAGAAGATAAGAAGAGAAAGCCAAAGAGAGAGGGAAAGAGGAAGAAAGTGGAAGGGAGACATACAAAGAATGTTTCAAGGTATCAAAAAAGTGTCAATGTACAGAGAAAAAAAAAATTATACATTGTCTAAATTGAAGGGGCTAAACCAAACAACACTAGAGATAAATAAAGAAAATAGATGGGTGTGGTGGCACAGGCCTGTAATCTCAGCAGTTCTGGAGGCTGAGACAGGAGGATTGTGAATTCAAAGCTAGCCTCAGCAAAGGAAAGGCACTAAGCAACTCAGTGAGGCCCTGTCTCTAAGTAAAATACAAAATAGGGCTGGAGATGTGGCTCAGTGGTCAAGTGCCCCTGAGTTCAATTCCTGGTACTCCCCAACCCACCCCGCCACCCCCCAAAAAGTAAAAGTACAACCTACAGTTTTATTATCCTAATAATAATTTTTAAAAGCTTTGTATTAAGTATGAGAAATTCATCATGAATTCTGTTCCCTTCTAGTCATTTATATCACATTTATATTTAATAACTATAAAGTAAGCACATAAATTACCACTGTGTATTTTCTTCTTTTAGGAGAAATTTAATAAGCAGTCTAAATTTTAACAAGTAATATTTTTGCTCTTTAGGAAGATAAATTCTTAAAATTTTGCTCAAATGAATATAATGCAATTTCACCAAAAACAGACAAACAAACAATAATTAAAATCATCACCCAGGCAATGACTGCTAAAAATATGGGCACAAAACAACTACTTACTTAATCTAGGAGAGAGTTCACAATTTCATGAAAATATTTACTTGAGAAATTTCAAGATGAAAATATTTCCCCACAAAATCTAAAATCAAATATTCTAAATTCACAACTAAAAACTCCTATTCAAACAATAGTTGTACAGGAATAATTACACTGTTTCTATTATATCTGCAAAAAAATTATGTATATATCATATATAATATATGTATGTATGTATATATATATATATATATATGCATAGCATATATGTGTATATATGTATGTTATTTAACTTCACAGAGAATAGTCTAGAAGTTTATAATTATGTCTTATCCATCTGGAATTATCATACACATACACACACACACACACACACACACACACACACACACACAGGTATATATTTAGCAGAAGCGGGGATTGAACCTAGGACCTTCCAATATGCTAAGCAGCAGTCTACCCTACATAACACACGCCTCGACACCTTAACTACAGTTTTTAAATAAAAAGAATATTCAGACATTCTTAAAATGTCTAAATGGTTTATGCAAGAAACAACCATTTACATAGTTATAGGAAATCAAACATTTCTATGGAATTTAGATCTAAAATGAAATATTTCTCAGATAATAACCTTATAATGTTAATATCAATCATTTAAGTACTGTGTACACAATTATTAAAGGTATATTACTTCTTGCCCAATAAAAAAAGCAGAAATTTTAAGTATACCACACACATACACAAACACACACAAAAAAAAATGGTCATTTTTCTTAAAATAATGTTTCAGCCCAAAATATGGGCTGAAATAATGTTTTGCTTTATTATGACAGTTCAATACACAATATGAATTGCTTAAATGAAAACAACAACAACAATAGACTCCTTAGCAGAAATCCCATTTACTGAGCTACTTGAAAGTATCTTTTACTTAAGAGGCCATCTTCTCAAGAAACCTCATGAAACAAGAGCTCTGAAACCAGATTGCAGAACTTCAAATTCCAGTTACAATACTGACAAGCTGAACCTTGGTTTTTCATCCATAAAACTATGGATAATCTTATCTACATTGTAGGGTTGTTTAGGAGATCAAACAAAGTTAATATATGTAAAACGCTTAAAATAGAGACTGACACATAGTAAATATTCAACAAATGTTAGCTTCAAAAGAGTTGTGAGAAACACAAGAATAAGTCTATTATGCTTAAAATATTTTCAGATCAACAAAAGGCATTTCTCACATTTGCAAGGTTATTGAATTCATGGTTCTTATGTCAATTAATAGTTTGCTTCTAGTTTACCATGTTGCATTCTTAGCCTTTATACTTCATTTCTATTCTTATTTCAACCCAGATACAAAAAAAGGAAACACAAAATACACTGGACTTAATTGCTCAGAACTTGAAAGAAAAAAAATTACATAGTATGATAATACATACCTTAAATGTGCCATTTTGATTTTTCATGTAAGAAACCAAAAATATATCCACTGGAAGAAGTGCTGATGTGATAAGTGCAATTGCTAGAGAAAAAATCGCTGTTATGGTGGAGACAACTTCACTTTCTCTCTGACTTTGGTATTTACGAACATATATCCAGCAAAACGCTAAAATAGCCTGAAATGGAACAAAAAGGATGTTTATTACTCCCCTATGTATTTTCCAACCCTGAATTTGTATGTGTTTAAAGGTTTCCAGTAAAAAAAAACTTTATGTAATGTGAAGGTTCTTCTACATGTACAATTAAAAAATTGTAAAATTTAGCATTTTCAAAATCTGTTTCATGAATGTAGTACAACTTTGCTTCAATGCTAACACATACATTACTGATAACAGTGCTCAGTTACATATACCCTCACAAAATACAGTGTTACCATTAGTGGTTACATACAATGTCATAATTATAACCAGTTTTGAATACCTTTTTCCCGTGGATCTCTCCATCCAAAGGAAATATAACTAGATGTTGTCCTAACCTAGGCTTATTACTGAAGTGACATGGAATATAACTTAGACTGAAATTAACTTTTGCCTTATTATGAAAGTTCAAAAGATTAACTGGCAATAATTATTATGCAATTACTATAATTCAAATTTTAAAGGGCTTTAAATAAAGAAAAATCAATAAAGAAAATGGATTCATATGCAGAGCAAATGAGAAAAAGTACACCCAGAGATACTTCAGTGAACCTCTCTTGTCAATCAGGTACTCTTGATAACTTTATCAAGACCTTTCTAACAACTGAATTACCAAAGTGATTCTCTAACTTTAGGGAGTATCAGAATCAAGTAGAGAGTTTATTAAACCACAGAATGCTGGCCCCCAACCCCAGATTCTGAGATTCAAGAGGTCTGAAGTGAGCTTAAAATTTTGCATTAGTAATAGATTCTCAGATGCTGCTGCTATTGGTCCAGGGAATATATTTCAAGAGTATCCACTCTACTCAATTATAGGGGGTTGCAGACATATGAAATCAATGTTTTTCAGCCTTGACTATGAGTTAGAATCACCTGTGTAGGTTTAAAATATCTTTTGGAACCAAACAGGCATTTCTTTAAAAAGAAACACAAAAGGCCAACAAATATATGAAAAATGTTCAATGTCTCTAGCAATCAGAGAAATGCAAATCAAAACTATATTAAGATTTCATCTCCTGCCAATAAAAAAGACAATTATAAAGAACACAAATAAAGGTACACTTGTTCATTGCTGGTGGGACTACAAATAAGTACAACTACTCTGGAAAGCAACATACAAAGTTCTCAAAAAACTAGGCATGGAACCACGATATGACAGTTATCCCACCCCTTGGTAGTTATGTGAAAGAACTGAAATCAGCATACTATAGTGATATAGTCACTTCAGTGTTTATAGCAGCACACTTCAAGGTAGCCAAATTATGGAATCAGCCTCAATGCCCATCAATAGATGAATGAATTAAAAAACTGTGGTTATATATATTCAATACAATTTTACTCAGCCATAAAGAATGAAATTATAGCATTTACTGGTAAATGGATGGAAATCAAGAACAGCATGCCAAATAAAATAAGCCAGTCTCAAAAAAATCAAGGATCAAATGTTTTCCTTCCTATGTGGAAGCTACAGCAAAATAGAAGGGAAAAAAAAAAGAGGAGGATTGGATATCATAAACCTATGCAAAAAATTAGTAAAGAAGGAGACAGAGAGGGAAAGAGGAGGGATGAGAAAGGAAAAGGAAATGTGGAATGAATTTGTTTTTTAAATTATGCTATGGGCATATACAAATATACAATAGTGAATTTCACCTTTATGTATAAATAGAAAGAACCAAACAAAAATAAATAAATACACAGCAAAAGGAGGAACAGTAAAGAGGAGGAAGGAAAATGGGCTGAGGCAGGAGGAGAAGGAATGCAGGGGGATTGGGGGGTACATGAACTGACATAGAATTCCATGCATGTACAAATTTGCCAAGATGAACCCAACTATACTATTTATAACTGTAAGGCTCTATTAAAAATAAATAATATATAAAGCTAAATAAAATACATAGTTTTTGCTTCCCCCACAACTCCCTATCAAGTCAATTAGGGTCCTCTAGGCATCAGTATTTTAAATGCCTGAGGATTCAATCAGCCAAACTTGAAAACCATTATTCTAAATAAAGTAAGAGTTTTGGGACAAAAGCCTTGTTTTGTCCTTTCACTTTCAAGAACGATCTGTTATTTCCTTTCTAGGCATCCCAGTTCAGATGTCTGAATGGAAATAATAAAACCATCTAATTAGTTTTACAGTTTTCAATTTCTCTTACCACAATCAAGATATAAGAACAGTTTCACCACCCCAGAAAATTTCCCTTTATCCCTTTGTAATTAACCATGCTCTTTACCCTCACAACTACTATCTATTATCTGCCTCTATAATTTCTGTCTTCTCTAGAATGTCATTAGGTACTCATATAGTAGTATTCTGTCATTTGAGTTTGGCTTTTCACATGACACAATGCATTTGAAATCCAAGTTGTGACTCATTCCTTCACATTGCTGTCATTTCAACTGGTGACAGATCAACAGGAAGAAAAAAAAAAACAGGTGAGAAAAGATTTAGACTTTAGAACCTAGATGTTGGTATAAAACAAAACAACAAAAAAAGGACTTGGAGCAGGCACAGTGGTACAAGCCTATAATCTAAGAAACTCAGGAGGCTGAGATAGGAGGATCCCAAGTTCAAAGGCAGTGTTAGCAACTTAACAAGGCCCTAAGCAATTTAGCAAGACCCTGCCTCAAAATAAAATATATATATATATATAAAGGGCTGGGGATGGCTCAGTGATTAAGCTTTAAGTGTAATCACTAGTACAAAAAAAATAAAAGGACCTAGACTTAAATTCTGGTTTAACTGTTTAATAATATTTTTTTGTTTTGAGTTTGATTTAAAAATTTAAAATAAATAAATAAATAAATATTTTAAATGTTCCTTAAATTTGTTTTGAATTCATTGGCATCTGAGACTTATCTTACTATTCTTACAGAGTACTCAACACAAAGTGCTCAACAAAATTTGTTAGATTTTGAGAAATATCTGCACTTTTATAAATTTCAAAGTGGTTGGTATAATCAAAAGGAAGGAGTATGCCAGCATCAAGAAGACAAATTAAAAAGGGGGAACCAGGCAAATAGGTAAGGCATGGGTTTTGACTTTTGGGTTTCAAAATCCCTTTACATTTTAAAAGAACCAAAAAAATCTTGTTTATGTAGGTTTGTTGTAGCAATATAATTGTACCATAAATAAACCAATGTCTCATAAAATAAGCATAAGAATTCCTTCACAGAAGATTGTAAGAATTAAATGAGATGTTTTACAAAGTGGTTAGCTATAGTAACTGCTTAAAAAATAGGAATTATAGGCTGGGGATGTGGCTCAAGCGTTAGCGCACTCGCCTGGCATGTGTGCCGCCCGGGTTCGATCCTCAGGACCACATACAAGCAAAGATGTTGTGTCCACCGAAAACTAAAAAATAAATATTAAAATTCTCTCTCTCTCTCTCTTTAAAAAAAAAAAAAGTATGGTTGTCCATTGTACTTTAAAAAAAAATAGGAATTATTATGAAGTGTCATTCAAAACAATATTTTAGAGCATTTTATAAAGTAAACTAATATATAACTTTGTTAAAATTCAAAAAAGATTTAAAAATAGTTCCCCAACTCCTCCCAAGAGATTCTGACTTAACTAGCCTAGATACTGGGATTTTAAAAATTCCCTAGGTAGTTTTAATGAGTGGCTAAGGTTGAAAACCAATGGAGCAGAGGAAGGAATGAGAATAAAGGAGCAGTTACTAAACTAATAAGCATACATACTTCTGGGATCCTGTTAAACAGCAATTCTGATCCAGTGAAGTTGGGACAATATATTTTCTATTTCTAACCAGTTCTCAGATGATACACTTTAAGAAACAAGATAAACTTGCTTTACAGAAATGAAGATCATCTCTATAGTACTGGAAAAAACAATTGAAAGATGGATTGAATCAAATTATTGAGGACATTGGGAATTAAGTAGAAAGTTTATAACTGCTATAGTAAACACAGTATATAAGCATGAAAGACCAAATTTAATCATTTTTATGTGGTAGAAGAAATTGAAATCCACTCTGGTCAAGATCACAAAAGTAGGAACATGTGTGTCACAATTCTTCAGTAGATGTCTGGCAGCAGTTCTAAAAGCCTGAAGTCCCCAGACCCTGCTTGTCCCCAAATCTCAATTCAAACTTTCAACTCAAAATTGAAAACTATTCTCATAATAATACTAAGATGTCATATGCCTTTTTCACTCATGGTTAAAGTGAAAAGCCACAGTAGATTAAACTGTTGGTGCATTACCACAAATCAAGACAATGGCATCAGACTGCCAGTTGTCACTGCCTTCTTTACTATCTCACACACACACACACACACACACACACACACACACACACAAGCAATTTAACTGAAGACTGTGCTTGAAAAAGCAGTAAAAATTTTGTTAAATTTTGACCCATGATATTTTTATAAATACTTCGGGTTAAAATATAAAGCATGAGTAAAGTCCTCCCACTGCATACCAAGGTATGATGGCTGTTCACCAAGAAAACGTGAAAACTTAAAGAGTCAAAAGTAGAACCAGCTACTCTTTTCAAGCAAAACTATTTTTACTTGAAAGAAAAACTGAAACTGATAATTCAGTTTTGGATATTTAGCAAATTTTATCAAATGAACAAAGAAAACAATCTCTTCAAGAAAAACTAACAATATTTTTTAACCAGTGTTAAAATTCAAGCTTTCAAATGAAAATAAGAATTTTGGCTTCATAATAGCTGCCATTCTCACTGGAGTGAGCTGATATCTTAGAGTAGTTTTGATTTGCATTTCTCTAATTGCTAGAGATGATGAACATTTTTTCATATATTTGTTGATTGATTGTATATCCTCTTCTGAGAATTGTCTGTTCATGTCCTTGGCCCACTTATTGATCGGGTTATTTGCTTTTTTGGTGCTTAGCTTTTTGAGTTCTTTATATACCCTAGGGATTAGTGATCTATCTGATATGTGAGGGGTAAAAATTTGCTCCAAAGATGTAGACTCTCTATTCACCTCACAGATTAGTGTTGGCGAGGATGTGGGGGAAAAGGCACACTTATACATTGCTGGTGGAACTTCAAATTGGGCAGCCAATATGGAAAGCAGTATGGAGATTCCTTGGAAAACTGGGAATGGAACCACCATTTCAACCAGCTATTCCTCTCCTCGGTCTAACCCAAAAGACTTAAAATCAGCATACTACAGGGACACAGCCTTATCAATGTTTATAACAACACAATTCACAATAGTTAAACTGTGGAACCAACCTAGATGCCCTACAGTAGATGAATGGGTTAAAAAAAATGTGGCATATACACACAGTGGGATATTACTCAGCAATAAAAGAGAATAAAATCATGGCATTTGCAGGTAAATGGATGGAGTTGGAAAAGATAATGCTAAGTGAAGTTAGCCAATCCCAAAAAAACCAAATGCTAAATATTTCCTCTGATATAAGGTGACTGACTCATAATGGGGTAGGGATGAGGAGCATGGAAGGAATAGACCAACCCTACATAGGGCAGAGGGGCGGGATGGGAAGGGAGGGGGCAGGGGGGTAGCAATGATAGTAGAATGTGATGGACATCATCATCCAAAGTACATGTATGAAGACATAAATTGGTGTGAGCACACTTTATATACAAAGAGAGATATGAAAAATTGTGCTGTATATGTGTAATAAGAATTGTAAGGCATTCCACTGTCATATATTTAAAAAATAAAATCAATTAAAAAATAAAAATTTTTAAAAAAAGAAAGAATTTTGGAAAAGTTGTGAGCTTGACAAATTCTCAATACTCGGAAGTTTGAGACATTTCTGATAAGATCAGTAGTGATTTAATGAATGTGACATTTGGATATGTTATAATGAAATGTATCCATATTTGGCCAGGTGGGATGGTGCAGGCCTGTAATCCCAACTACTCAGGACACTGAGGGAGGGAGATTATAAATTCAAGGCTGGCCTAGGCAATTTAGTGAGATTGCCCCCATCTCAAAAAAAATGGTTTGGTAGTAAAAGTACTCAGTAGTAAAGTATCACCGGGCTCAATCCCTAGTACTGCAAAAAGAAAAAAAAATGCATTCATATTTGGAAAATGTGCATGACTCAGTTAACCAGTATTTTCTAAATGGTCAACATACTGTCTTATAAAACTATGCATGGGTAAAAGATCCATTCAAAGTCCATGTTGGACTAATGAATTTTAATATATCAAGGAAAAGTCATTGACAGGGTTTCAGATTGCATATTGCAACTAAACATAAGAAGCTTCTAACTGTTGAGCTTTGGTGTAATAGCCAATACCATCTGCAACTATACATAAAATACTTCTCTGCTTCTAACCACGTATTGTTGAAACTGGATTTTCTTCATATACTTCAACCAAAATAACTCAAAAGACTGAATGAAAAAGTAGATATAAGAATCCAGTTCTCTTCTAAAACCAGAAATTAAATATATCTACAGAAATTTAAACAATGATTCGCATTACTAATTTTTTTCCCCACTCCAATATCCAGGTTACTGGTTTATTAACTGTCTTCTCATTTCATTTGTTCCTGCTGTGCTTTTACTAATTAAAGTGGGCTTTCCTCTTCTATCTAAAATCTATCTCAATACTCACTTTCAAAGTTGTTCTCTATTCCCAGAAACACTATTTCTTTTTAAAACTCCTGCTTTCATTGCTTAAAATACATGTTTCAAGAATTTTCTTTTTCCCACCTATCTCCAAGCCTTGCTAAAGGCCATGTTTTGTTTCATTTGCATCCTTCTACAAATTACAGAAAACCTATTGTAGTTTAAATGCTTATTCACCAACCACTGACACAATAATCCCGCTAGACTTTAATACTAGTTGCATACTTGTTTATTTTCTTCTAAATAAACTAAATATGATGGGTTGGAAAACCAGGGAATTCTCCAAGCACAGGAGTGGATGGCTCTGAAGGCCACAGCCAACCCTTAGTGTTTCCAGTTTCTTCATGAGGGGGTAAAGCATATTCTGATGCAAAGGCATCTGTGAAAGTGAGGGCAGCAAGAAAAGCCTTTCCTTACATTTTCAATAGTTTTTCTTTTTTTTTCTTTTTTTTTTTTGTAGTTTCTGCTAAAAAATTTACTAACAGAACACATAAGAGACACTTCTAGGGAATCTCATAAATTCAAATAAGTGGGATTTCTAGAAGTGAAAAGTTTTGTTTTGTTTCGCTTGTAATGCAGGAAGTCAAAATACATTGGAACAGAAAACAACAGGGCAGGATGAAGGCAAAGGACGAAAGAATTCTGAGAACGTAGAGGGATATAAAGAAGAACAAATTGGGGGAAAAAGAATTGTCTTTTGGGGTAGAGAAGTAAAAACAAGGCCATTTGGGGCCATTACAGTCCCATAGAATAATCAAAAACAAGAATCTTGGGGAACAGAAGGCCCTTGAGGTAAAATGGGAGTAACATACTCTGGCATTGGCCTTAGAAAGAGGTTACCGCTCTACCTTACAATTGTTCTACAATTGGCAATAAAAGATTGAAAAGAATGTGACACCTCAAAGTCAGAACCAGTAGCTCACGTCATCAAGGCGGAATCGCACAATGGGCACTGAAGGCTGCCAATGATAGGGAACATGGAGGAAAAAAACATTTAGAAAATCTGACTAGTCAACAACGCCAGCGCCTACAAAACTGCAAAAGACCTGGCGCTGCCGCCGCACACCTGTACTAGAGGTACAGCCTTATGAGGATGAAAGACCACCACACCCTTCTCAACCCGAGGGTCTCTTCCGCCCACAGACCTCCGGCCCCAGGCCTCAATCAAGGCTTGGGGCAAGAGTTTCGGTAAATGACACCAGCTCTTCAGACGTCATCGGTGAAATGGAAGCAAAAGAGGCCGGAAATCAGCTCCCCCTCCTCGACTTCCCGGAGCCGCCCCCGCCCCCGCGATGGAAAGCAACCCAGAGTCCCAGCTAAAAGCAGGGCGGGGCAAGGAGGGTCTCCAGGGCCTGGAGAGGCCAGCGGGAGGACCGGCCCCTCCCTTCTCCCACCAGTGCAGACACTGGGGAAACTCCAAGCGCCTCCCCTACCAGTAGTAAGAGGCCGAATATGCACCAGCCGATCACCAGCTCGGCTGAAGCCGCGCCAGCAGTCACCGCCGCCATCTTCGCTTCCGGTTCGGACAGGCCTGAGCGAAGGGGATAGGGAAGGGGGAGGGGGAAAGGGGAGAGGGCGAGGGACGCGGAACCGCTCACCCTAAAGGTTAAAGGGGCGGAGGGGGCGGAGCAACTGGTTGCCTGGGAGACCCGACCCGCGAGCGTCCCCTGGCGTCGAGCCGGGCGGGACGGGAAGAACGGGCTAGGGGCGGGGCACGCCCGGACGCAGTGACATCATCGAGCTGGTTTGCCTCACACCGGCTGAGTTCCAAAGGACGAGGTCGTCTCACAGCAACACAGCATTTTTGGAATGTTTAACCTAGCCTAAGCGGATGGACTGAGAGAGCCAAGAAATTCTGGAAAGCATGGACTATATACATGTGGAGATTCAAACGAATTTTACGGATTTCCACTTCCCGAAAATGTAGAATGGGTGATATGATTATCAAAACTCACCAGAATGCAGGAAGAGAATATCTTGACTCAGACTAAGTTTACCCACTGCCCCCAAAGACTTTCTAATTTGCTGGCCGTGATGCCAGGCAGGGCAACTGCTTGGCTAGACGTTTCCTTATCATATTGTGGCCTTTTTGTTTAGATCTGTGCATACTTGTGAATTCAGTTTGTGAACATTCAAAATGAGATGATAGGCTTTTATAATATTCAGAAGTAAACAAGACAGACACTGCCATAGGTCATAGTGAAACAGAGGAAGAGAACTCCTGGGATGCCTTGGCTGGGTCCACTGGTGTGTTTAGCGTGAGTTTTATCACTGAGTTTAACAAGCATAGTCTGTGATGTAGGCCAAACACAACTTTGTGAATGAACATCATCGTCTGTTTACAATTTCTTATATTATCCGTTACCTAGGACCCACTTCTGGCAGGAAACTTGCAGTAGTTAAGGGATGGCCTGGTAATTCTACCAGGACAGAATAAGGAGGGAAGAAGAGAATAGGAGAGAATGTAATTGTAATGTGAACCGGTATCATAAACGAATAAGTTCTCTGTGCTTGCAGATGTTTGAACTTTACTGTGGTACATTCACAACTCTGGAGACCTCTTTCTTATAGTTTCCTTGAAGAGACACTTCTTCCAGATAGAGTTCTTCAAACATCCCCAAGGTATACTGGAGGACAGTTTTGATTATTCTGTTAATGTCTTCTAATCCTCTCCTAGGATCTCTCTTGGTTGGAGAACAACCCAGTCCAGTTCTCCCCCATTCACCTCAACATAGCTCAAATCTCCTCTATTGGAAATGATCATACATACTTTGTTGCAATAATTTTTCTTCCAGCATAGACATAGCCCAATTTAACTGCGTTACTCTAGTTCCATCATGATAAAAATCAACCCTTCTTGGATGTGGCCACTGAAGTCAGTCCCACTCCATGGTCAGCTATCATTCTTTCAGAACTAAATCATACACCAACCCTCTGTCTCTCACTTTCAGGGGCCATATTTCAAAATTTCCAAATAGATCCCTTGAGACTTCATATCTTAGCTCTCTGTCATTGAGACAACGACTTACAAGAAAGGAAATTTTATTTTGGTTCATGGTTTCAAAGGTTCCCAACCTTGATCACCTGGCCCTGCTGCTTTGGCCTGTGATGGCACATCATATCATGGTAGGAGTGTGACTGTTGACTTTTTGGCAACTGGAAAGCAATAGAAAGAGACTATTGCCTAATATCCCTTCCAAGGATATACCCCAATGACCTCACTTCCTTCCACTCAGCCCCACCTCCTAAAGATTCCCCCATCTCTCAATAACACCATTGGCCTGGTATCAAGCCTTTAATACATAGTCTTTGGTGGTGATTCCATAGCCAAGCTGTAGACCTCCCTTATTAGTCTAGGGATTGGAGTAACACCATTCCCCCAATACACACTTAGGTTTAAAGGCAGGGTTCCACAAATAAGCAACAGTTCTCATTAAAGAAATTATTTCATTAATTTCTCTTCTACCCCTCTCTAATTCATTTATCAAAATTTTGTTTAGATGAGTGTTCCAAGAGACAGAATAAGTCCTTACATCCATTTTTATTTCTGCACATACAATAGAAATCATGGTTAGAAGGGAAATAAGGAATTTAAGCCCGTACTCTTCCCCATAGTTTAAAATTATATATAAATAGGAGTTTTGCTGAATCTGGACTGAACATTGTTAATATCTTTTGTACCCTCTACTGAATTAAGCCCATTTATTAAATTGTATTAATCCTTCTGCTGCCTCTAACCATCTAAGAATTGGTGTACTATTTAGAAGTTGATTGATTTTCATGTTAGAAAAACTTTGTATCACTATGTTACTGACAAGAATTTCTAGTTACATAGGGGTTTCTAGGAACATAGGGGTTTGAATCAGCAAAATTGGGGGAGAAATGAGAAAGTGAGGCATCTGGGAAGGCGAAGATATGCATTTTAGCCCTCTTGCCATTCTTCAGATTAGTTAGTATGTTCTAATCATTTAATATCATAGACTAGACCAATAAAGACTACTAAACACAGTATCCTGATTATGCTCTTCAATGTAAGAATGCTTTGAATTGGGCCAGAGTTCTTTGGTCAAAGCCATCCTCAGTAACTGTAAGATACTTAGCAACTCAGTGAGACACTGTCTTTAAATAAAATACAAAATAGGGCTGGAGATGTGGCTCAGTGATTGAGTGCCCCTGAGTTCAATGCCGGGTACCAAAATAAATAAATAAACAAACAAAAATATCTTTATTGGTTGAAAATTACCAGCATTTCTATGTATTCTGCTTCATTTTATGTTCAATGAAATGGTTATTAAAAGTCAAATAACCCCAAGGGGTTTAAGAAGAAGCATTCCAGAAGAACTGTCAAAATCTAAACTCCCTTGACTATATTAAGAGTGCTAGAAGTCTTTGAAGGAAAAAAGTTTTGTAAGACAGCAAAGATATCTCCCCTCACTCCTCATCTGTTTCTCGGCTTTGGAATAGTTCCTCTACCTTAAACCAGTTGAAGGAGAATATACAAAAAAATCACATATAGTTTTGGAGGATGTGGTCTAAATTTGGGAAGAGGTTCTACATCTTATTGCAGCTGTTAAGGGAGGCTGAGTCACAGAAATGCCTGGTGTTGCACTGCCGTAAAGATCTATATTGAGGAGTACCATAGCATAGAAGGGGTATGGATTAGCTCCTACCAATATTTTTCCTCCTCAAAAAACACACTCTACTCCCTTGAACTCACACCGAAGGCTTGGATGAGTTTGAACTCACTGCTCCTGAAAATCACCTTATTTATGCGCTGTTTTCCTGTTGAAGACTAAGGAGAGATACAGCAATCTCTACTGTAGGAGTCCTTCCTGAGAATTTTCTTTGCCTGGGCCAGGAACACATGCACAGTAAAAAGTTGGGAGCAGTACTAAGAAGACCAGGTAGTAATGGCCTATAGAAAGTTTGCTTTATTGCAAAACCAGAAAGGTAATATAAACAGAGATGTCAAAACCCACAACACAAGTGTTCATGAAGCAAGGACAGTCACTCCTCTTGCCCCTATCCGCATAGCACTCAAAAGACTTTCCCTCCCCTGGGAGCTTGTGGATGGCTTTATGGACCCAGATGCATGAGAATGGTTACTCATTCCTTCCATGAGGTCTTTCTGGTAAATCAAATGTGGGATTATGATTAAATGACATAAAATGGGAAATAAAATTTATAACATTAATTTACACAGGAATTGATAGAACAAAAATAATACTGAGGAAAGATGAAAAGCCTGCAAGAAATACTTATGTTAATGGAACACAGGGTAGGTAATGAGAACAAAGAAAGGGAAAGTCCTCAAAACCCCAAAAGCAAGAAGTAAGGCATAAAGAGTTACCTAGACCAGGAACTGGAGAAGGGTGCAATGTAAAAGGGTGGATGACTCAAGCCTACTAGAGGGGTCAAAAAACACTGGACTGTCCAAGTCCAAATAAGACACTTGGAAAGCTCAATATTTGTCTTTCCAACTCTCATTCTTTCTGTACTTTTGTGGCTCTCAGGGAACTCTTTTTCTGATGGACTTCTTTCTTCTGCTATTTTAATTCCTTCAGTCAGGCTACAGTTAAGTCTTGCTGCCTAGTGACTTTGCACATGTCTACCCTGGTCCATAATATGTTGATTTAATATTTAGTTCTCTGTTGTGTCCTGTAGGTACTCTTCTGTCAAGAGGATTTAACAATGGTCTGGAGTGAACATTCACGTGGACTTAAGGAAACATGACCATGCCTGCCTTTTCTTCCTAGTACTGTATTACCTCTTTGCCTTCTCAGTCTTTCCACTATCATCCAACTAAATTAGTATCATGACCCTAAGTTTCTTATTTTCTTTGTGAAAGAACTTACACTGTGTTTCTAAGGTCATTGGCACATATGGTTGAGAGGCCCATTGGGTTCTGCCAGAACATTTTCTCACTTCTGTATGAGAAATGAGAAATGAGAAATTTCTCCCCAGTAGGAAGAAAGACATTTTTTTCACAAGAGCCAATTCATGAAAAATAACTTTATGGTCTATATTGTTTAAATCATTGAGCCTAAATGGGAAAAAATATATATATATACTTTGTTTTGAGTGCAAATAAATAAGGTATATGTTAAAAAGCATAGGTCATTAAATAGAAAAAAATACCAAGAAGAAAGTGATATGAACTGTTAATATCTGGGTGTTTTTGATTTGTGGACACATCAGCAATTTTCCAATTTGTCATCCTAAAATTAGATTGCACACAGTTTCATAATATGAACTGTGAAATTCATATTTTCTTATTCCTACAAGCATAAACTCTTAATGGATACGGTTTATAAACTTCTCCTAATGAGATAAGCATTCCCACATGAACTGGTAATATATGTTAGTTTTCTTCCTAAGACTTTTTTTTCTTCTGGCTATGAAAGAAATGATTTATTCATAGTTTAGACATGTTGAAATGTCACTTAAAACCTCCAAGTGTTTTTCATTGTGTTGCTTCTTAAACCTTTTATATCTTAAAACTGTTAAGATATAAAAAGTAAACTTGCAAATACAGTTTGCAAATATAAGTAAATATTGTGATAAAAACTGCTTTTAAAAATTATCCAGAGTGCACTCAAATTTTAACAAAGGATGTTTTGTTAAAGGTATGGAGATTGGAGGTGGGTAACCTATCTTATTTTTTTCCCCTATAAATAGGGTTCTTCTCCTGACTCAAAATCTATTCTTCTTTCATAGTGTGGTTTTGTTTGTTTTATTTATGGACAGACTTCTCTACTTATATTTGAATTCAAAGTGAAACCTTGGTATTCAATTCTCATGTTAATGATTTATGGATTATAAATTTTATAAATCCTTTTGGTCTTTTTAGAACTTATGGAGCTGAAGTGGCTTTTGTGTACATAATTGTAACTGTAGAACAATGTTAAGTAATTTGAAGTTCATCTTTAGGTTTTTAAACAATTGACAGACTAAAGATATTTATCTATTTATTTGTTTGTTTGTTTATTTTTGTGATGGTGGGAGATTGAACCCAGGGCCTTGTGCAAGCATTCTACCAACTAAACTATATTCCCAGCCCCAAACATTTATTCTTAGTTGTTGTTGAATGTCAGGTATGTTCTTCAAAATTTTCTATTGTTTTGTAATTATATAGAGATATAAAGATGGGGTTTTCAAGCATTATATCTGAATTTTGATTAAAAAATATTTTAAGTAAAAATATGAAATAAATTCATCAGAGTTAGGAAAAGCTTTTATGAGTAGATAACATTGGGATAGATTTTAAAAGATGAAAATGATTTTATCCAACAGAGCAGGAGAGTGAGCAAACTCCATCAAGGCAACAGCATGCACACAAAGGCAAAGAGAAGCCTGAGCTACCATTGTCAGTCTGGAGCAACCAGTATGAGAATGGCAGGAATTAAGCCAATCCCAGACTAGATTATAAATTGTTGTATGTATCCACCAAGAAACTTAGGCTTCATCTTTTAGGTAATAAGAAACAGTGAAGTACTGTAAGCAGGAGACAGATATAATCAGTCTTTCATTTAAGAAAGATACCTTTAGGGCAATCTGAGTGCTTGAAGTGGGAAGACTAGAAGCAGGGATTCATTTCAGTTAAGATTCTGTTGCTAAAGTCAATGCAAGAAATAATGACACTAACCCAAGGCTATTAATATGAAAGGAGAAGATAAATTTATGAGATAGTAATAAAAATTAATTTGCAATATATGGTATCCAGGTGTGAAAGATGAAGGAACAAGAGGAAGAAGATAAGATGTTGTATTAGGGTTCCAGAGAAACTGAACTAATAGGATAGTGATAGATAGGCAGGTAGATAAGTAGATAGGAAGTTAGGTAGAGAAGA